ATGTCGTGGAGGGGGCTTTCAAATGTAGTCCAAAGTAAGCTATTTATAGACAAGCCTTACAAGAATGAAATATGTTCTATGATAAACTAACATATAAACCTGTGATCTGTAATACCCCTAATTTTAAAAAGGATATTCTTGATATTTAATGGTATTTAATTTATTATTTAAGTGCATTTTATTTGATTATGTGTCATTATTTTTTTTATTAGGTGCTTAATTGTTTTCTTTTGTGGTGATTTAATTTATTTAAATGATATTTATTTTTAGTGTTTTAATTATTTAATTGGCATTAATGGTTTAAGTGTAATTGGTTTAGTATTTGATTGGAATTACTTGTTAGTGTTTTAATTATTTAATTGGCATTAATGGTTTAAGTGTAATTGGTTTAATTATTCTATGTGTGTCTTATTTTATGTGTGTCTTATTTGGTTTAATTGGGTTTACTAATTATTATTTTGTTCAATTAGATTATTTGTTAAGTATTTAATGGTGAATAGGGTAATTAGGTAAATACATCTAACTATGGTTTTAATTACAGTATAAATTAGGGTTTTATATTATAGCCGTCGTAGGTTTCTACGTTAATTGGATGGGCCGGTTAGGATTGTGAGTTGGACTTAAATGAACCTAGGGTTTAGGAAAACTCTATAAGTATAAGGTAGACGTCTAGGTAGGGTTTTTTTAAACAAAGCACACGTTTTGTGGAAGTGGAGAAGGAAAAACGCAGTTTTTCACATTCTGCCCAGATTTCATCAAGCATTCTATCCTGCTTCGTCCGTGGTCCGATCGAGCTGAATTTTGGAGGAGAGGTTCACGACTCAGTGACGCACAATCTGAACGGTGGAGATCAGAGTTTGACCTTGGGAACAGTGATTCGTACCCGTGAACAGTAACTGGGTCGCACAGGTAGCACAGGTTTTTTTCCCATTCTGCCCAGATTTCATCAAACATCCGATCCCGCTTCGTCCGTGGTCCGATCGAGCTGAAATTTGGAGGATAGGTTCATGACTCAGTGTCGCACAATCTGAATGGTGGAGATCAGATTTTGAGTTCGGGAATAGTGTTTCGTACCCGTGAACAGTAACCGGGGAACTAGCCGGGATTTTTTAAGAAAACGACGTTGAAACTTTGAACAAAAGTTTCTGAGGCAAGATTCTATCCTTACTCTTTCCCTTAGGCTTCATACTCTTTGCACTCTTAAATGATTCCAGGATTAATGAAGATTAAACCAAACTAAAATGATATCTGTTTTGCTATGAAACTGGTAGTTACAGTAGTGTTGTATGCTTGTTCAACCTAGACTAAGCATGTTTGTGGATGCATTGTGGTTCTGTGGTTCACGTTTTTCCTTACCACTGCTAGTATAAATTATTGGAAGGATGGGTTTAGATGATAGCTATCTTAACTTCTGTAATAGCAACTGTTGGAACTTAAATACTAGGAGGATTTTAGTTTAACATTAGATCGGTTTTGTGGAACACTACAATTTGAGCATGTCTACATACATACCGTGAATATTGTTTTGATGCTTACATTATCACAGTTAGTATCAACTGTGGAGGTTAGGATTTTGTAATACATACCCTACATATCTGTATGTCATTTGTAAGGTGTTAAATGGAAGTTTTAATTAATTCTGTCTTTATATCAGACTAAAGGGAACAACTTAAATTGGGCATGTATATGTTGTTGTTGTGACCCTATTTATCAATGCTTATTTTATCACTATTAACATTGAATGTTGGATGTTGGAATTTAGTTGATATATACTTGATTTATTGGTATTATTGACTACTGGAGGATTGGAAAGTAGGCACCGGTATGGGACAGTGGCATACTAAGGATGGGTTTGGTTTTTAAATCAATACCATTACCCACCTACTTGGAATAAGAATGGAATTAACTAAAAGTTAAGTCCCGTGGATTTGTATTGTCATGGTAACTACTTGTTGAGCGGCAATACTAGGGATTTTGGATGGATTTTCTATATGTACTGTTATGGTGCCTCGGTATGAGCTTGAGCCTCAGGACTGATGGCTAGGGAGCGTATATGCATCGGGATGTGTAGCTGGCTACGATGGTTGGAGGTGTACCCTGTTTAGGTATAGGTACATATGCCCACTTCGTGTGCGTTTTAGCATGTTACCTCTATTCAGGTTGAGACCGGCCTGTAGTCCAGTGAGAGTCCTTTAGTGTGACTATATATATATTTACGGACTATTAGCTATTGTTGAATTGTTTAGAATGTACATGCGTATCGGGCCTCTGTTTGGATTGTAGTAGTATAGAACTTGCGCGTGGGCCTGACCCACTTCTATTTTTCAGGTACACGACAGTTCCAGGCTTAGACGTGTTCGTGCTGAACAGAGGTCTCTATTCACTCTTCCGATGACGTAGGGCTCTCTCTATAGTTTTATTTCTGGACGTTTATTACAGTTGTTCTATTTTCCGTTTGGATGTTTAATAGGGGTCCACTAGAGATGGATTCCCAAGTTGTAAACTGAAGGAGTTTTGGAGTTTGGGTTTAATGGATTTTAATAATTATAATATTTTGCGGATTCTATTTTTAGTTCCTTCCAGCTTTAATTTCATTTCTTAATTTATTTTGTATTCCGTGTTCATTATAAAATATTAATTGTTTGACATTCCCTCGGGTTTGGGCCTGGGCCTGATCAACCCGTGTCTCGGATCCGAGGGGTATCTCATGATCTACACGACTTCTTCCAGCTTTGGTGCGGTGACGCCATGTGTCCCATTTCTTCAACCCATGTTCTATTTGCATGATCTTTCCTTCCAGCTTTGAATTTGAAGATACCATGTGTCTTTTACTTTGATCCATGATCTGCCACTTCTCAGCCCACTTCCCTATATTATAAGAACTAACTATTCACCTTCAGTTCCATCATTTGCCATGTATCCATCACATCTTAATCCATAACCATTCCTCAGCCCACTCCCACTATTTTAGGGCCTGATATGTGTCATTTTATATGTTGGACAAGTGTCTAATTAATCTATTCAATGGACCATTAAATCAACAACTAACCCACTTGACAGTTCTGTTGTCAGTCACGTGTCTACTATTTGTAGCTTTCCCTAACTTCTTGCCTTTGACTGCTAATTGTATCACCATTTCCTATTTTGTAATAATAAACTAACCCACCTCCTCTTTTATAGCAACATGGTTATTCACATATGTAAGGATAGTGCCTACTCTCCTCCTTAATTGTAGGAACTAATTCAACCCATTATGGTAACCATTAGCTTTGAATTTAGGCCTTGTTTGGCCCACTTTATGGCTGATTATACATATTTTTGTGGCTGAATTATATAGCTAGTTAGTAATGTACAATTTTGCCGTATATAAACTTCTGCATCCTTCCAAGTGTCAGTTGAAATATTGCACACTTGTCATCTGCTGCACCACACAAATGTTGGCCTTTCAATTACCTTTAGCAAATGCCATGTGTGACCGTATTATTGGACCATAATTTGGTCTGTTTGTCTCTCTTTCATTTGTCCACATAGATTGCGAAGTGGCTGACATTTTTGTATGTCATTTTTTTTTTTTTTTTTTGCCTCATTAGGGTTTTTTATTCAACATGTACGTATTGCATCTCTCTTGTTTAGTGGCACATGAATAGCGTGGGTTATGGGGGTGGTTTTGTGGAATCTGATCAGATCTTCAACTTGTGGTTTCTGATTTTGATATTGACTCGTATCGGTTAAGATATATATGACATAGTTTTCATGAAAAGGGGTTTTGAAGGATTTATATTTTTTGTTGGCAATTGTATTATGCATTTTGGTGGTGGATGTTTTTTTATATATGTGTATATATAATATATATATAGTAATCAACTGATGTACATTATTGAAGCAGAGTTTGCTTCATTGATTGTGTTGAAGCAGAGTTTGTGTTCATTGCTTGTGTGCTTGCTCGCTCCCTGGGCTGCCCTTGTATTAGTTTCTTTTGTAGTGATGCTTCATTGTTTGTTTGGATGTGAAATATTTTTCAGAAAATATTTTTTTATTTCTTGGTATTTGATTGTCGTAAAATATTTACAAAGGAAAAATATATTAATATCTAACAAAAATAATTTATTTATTAATTTTTGGTAAGTTATTTTATACGTCCTGCCCGAAAGATTCGATCTAGACCTTTGTCAAACACCAAAAAATAAAAATAAAAAAATATTTCACTTAAAAAATAAAAACATTTTCTGAAAAAATTATTTTACGTCGAAACAAACAAAGTAATGTTGGGTATTATATAAAGGTGCCTTCGGCCCTTTGCCATGGGGATTCAGAGTCTTTGGCTAAGAAGCAGTCTAAGGTGCTAACATGTTAATATTCTGGTAGGGTTGTTTCTAATTGTTCAGTTTTACCATCTAAGTAGTAGCCACAATGAAGCATATGTTGGCTATTGCCATGGCAAGGACTTGCATTTATTGTAAATTTTGTGAGGAAGATTACTTTTGTAATTTTTGTGAGTGGTAAGAGCTACCGTCTCTGATTTGGTTGGGAACTTGTGGATATATTCAAACTAGTAAACTTTCGTGCTTGCTTTTATATTTAGACATTGAAAATTGAAAAAAAAGTTTCAAAAATTTGTTTGATAAGATATTGATACTTTTTTACATTGGTCTCTTGAGACTTGATTTCTTGTATTTCTTGCCAATGAAAAAATATATATATATATATTTTTTAAGTTTCTTACAATATTACAAAAGTTAAAGTCTAAGCTTAAAAAACAAACAAAAACTGTTTACCAAACGTGACCTAAAATATTCTCTCATTTCTCCATACATTCTATGTCCGTGAGAACAATAAATATATTCGTAGTAATCTATATAAAACATTTATTATCTATATTTTTCAAAAGATTAAGCAAATGTATTAAATAAGTAAAGTGTTACTGTCTACATAGAAGGGCCTTTGGCTACAACAAGCCGAATGATAAATGAGCAGACAGAAGGGCAAAGCCCAACAAGAGAAATTCAGCCTAAAAAGGGCCCAATTCCCAGAGGCAAATAAGAAAGGCGTTTATGACAGGACCAAACAGAGCCGTTATCAGAGGCTATTTTCAGTCCGTCCGGCGAAGAAGCCATGGAATCAGAGCACAAGGCTGTCAAAAACGTCAATGAGGAGGCCGAGGTGGAGGTCTGCAGCACGACGGAGAAACACCCCAATCGTGAAGGATAGACGTGGAGGAAGGGCATGCCTTTAGAAACCCTAATTTCTAGGGTTGAAGTGATGGGGAGCTTCCTTGGAAAAATTCTCTGTGATTTGGATGTGATCAACGGAATTAGTGATTGGATGAGCAAATGTGCAATTGAAGAAAAGATGCGAGTGTGATTGAGGCATCGATTGACACAGAGAGCAAATGTTCTGAATTTGATGGTGATATGTAGCTACAAGTGTGCTTGAGAGTTTAGATGGAAGGCCGATGGAGAAACAGACCAAACAAGCATGTCATTGATGGAAGAGCTCCGGAATAGAGGTAGCCAAGCAATAGGGAAAAGATCATTAGTTATCAAGCCAGTAGGAAGTGGCATTGCCATTGCCGATCTTGTGTTATCAAGCCAGTAGGAAGTGGCATTGCCATTGCCGATCTTGTGTTTGATGATTTGTCGTGCAGGTTGCCAGCTCGAAGAACATGAGTGAGGAATCTTCAAGCTCCAGAGACTCTTATCTTTAATCAGGCAAGTCTTGCACTATTTTTTTCCCTTCGAATTGTTATTTTGCCAGATAATAATCACTTTATTTTCTCCAGTTCTTCTGGGCAGATTTTGGAGGTTTATATTTTTCTGCCAGTCAGTTTTATTTGAAACGCATTTGTGAGACGGATCTGGGAATTGTGTCTCAGTGCTGTTTGACATGTATACAAAATTAGTAAGCAAAATCTTGCAAATGTGGCTATGAAGATTAGTGTAAATTATATTGACCTTCAAAATAGACTAATTTTTTAGAATAACATGGATGTCCCTATCTAATATGTCATTATAGCATCCAATTAGAATGATGTCTTCGTTTAAAAAATTATGAATATAATTTTGTTCTTAAGACGTAAATTACACTGTTGTTTTTGCGCTAATGCTATCAAGTCATTTTGTATGACTTAAATTTTTTAATTTCACGATTTAGGTAATTTAACTTAAATATGCTTTAATTATAAAAAATAAAAAATAAAAAATAAAAAAATAAAAATAAAAACAAACCCTGGAACTGTGGTATCAAACCAAATCAGACCATTTTCTCACGCCTTGGTTTAGTTCAGTTCAGTTTTATTGATTTTACGGTTTGATTTGATTTCAATTTTTATGAAACTGTCAAGAGCGATTTGAATTTAAAATAATTCTAAATCAGTCCAATCCGAACCGTGTGCAACACCCTAGTTGTTGAGAAAATGAGAGTGAGTGTGCCACATAGCATATTACTCCCACATTTTTAAGGAAGATAACGCTTGTGGATAAAGAAGTATAAATTAAGGCCCTTTCACTATTAGTATTACTCCCCCAGCTGATAGATTGGACATCAATGGCTACTTCAACACTCTTACCATCTTCAACTCTCTGTTCCATTTCCACAACCAAATCTACTACCCCTTCTTCTTCTTCTTTGATCCTTCCAATTCTTCAAATTTCTCAATTTCAAAGTCATGGAAACATTGCCTGTCGTTACCCTAATTTATCACTATTCACTAGTCAACAAGTTGACAAAATCAAGAACCATTGTTAGGTCAGTAGCAGAGGAACCCTAATTCCAGAAGATGCAGAGCAGAACACTGCTACCATAGAAGGAGAAGAAGCGCCCACCACTGACCAGACAGTTTCCGTTCCAGTCTCGCCTTCCGACATACTAAACATGTTCTTTCAGGTACTAATATGCCACCAAATGTCTCTGTGTGAGTGTGTGAACTTCAACTTGGAATTTTGGTAATTTGTATGTCTTGCTTATGAGAAATTCTGATTAGTATGTGCATGTTGATGGTTTGAGTAGTGAACACCTCAATTTTGCTCTATGCCCAATGAATTATTTGTTACTTTAACAAAATCATTTATTAGTCATCAACTGGATAAATTTTTACGAAAAATGCTGCAACTTTGAATAAAATTTAAGCATTATCTTAATTTTGTCTATAATTATTGTATATGGCATTACACAAATTTTTATTGAACTATGTAAAATTTATTGAAAATGAAAAGTGATGGCTGTTAATTCTGTTAATTGGGAGGGGAGAGTAGTGAACACCTCAATCGAACCATGGATTCCATGAAAACAAGGACATGAATGGCATTTTTTTCCCCTGCGGGAAGAAAATATATTGAAGGAAAGAAATAATGTACATGGAAAGAAATAATGTACTGTAGTGAAGGCATACCTTTACAATAGAAAAGAAATACAATGTTAAAGCAACATTTTCAATAGCAATGGAAAATGGAGACAAAATGGATGTTTTACTCTTCAGGACATGTATAGCATTTACTATTTCTATTACAAGGGAAAAATGATAATGCTCACATTATTTCACTACTCTTAACGCCTCAAATACGAGGCATTTGTGGTATCGTTATAATAATTAAGTGATAATAACATATTTGGTTGTTTTTCCTTTGATTCATAGTCATCTATTTGGTGATTTGAAAAAGTTTTAAAAAATACTTAATTTAGTTTTGAATCATTAAATACTCTGTACTTGAATCCTTCTGTACTTTTCCATACATTGATTTGTTTTCTTGAAGACCTCACAATCCTAATTTATTATATGATCTTGGGAGTCATGAATGAAAATTATGTGCTTTTATATCACTTACATCCTTAACTTTCTGAATATCAAGGCGGACACTAAATGAGGCCGGTATTCCTATAGTGACCAAGGCTTTAGAGGTACATCTATCTTTGATCTTCAAATTGTCTCATGTTTTGAACTTTTCAAACGCGTAAGTATTTCCCTTCCTATTCCCTTTTTTAAAAAAAATTCTGTTAGATTTTGTGTGCAGTTTTAAGCTCACCATCTTCATGGTGAAATCTCCCAATTCTCACTATTGTATCATTGTTGGCTCTCCATGTTCGTTTGGTTGGTCAGTTAAAAAAAGTTCCTTTTGCAATGTAATGAGTTACTGTTCTATCTCATTTAGGGTATCTCAAATGTTTTCTTGTGTGCGAAATCCTCTAATATTGTCTGTCACATTGTATAATAATTCACTATGTTTTACTTTTTAACCTTTGCAATTGTATATTCATTTACTATTTTGCAGGAAGCAGAGGGCATTACAAATTTAAAAGTTCAAGTCCTTGAGGGTTATTGCTAGTGTTGAGGTTAGTAAATGCTGCTTGTTGCTTTTTACATCTCATATACTGAATTTTCAGTCAATGAGCGTTGCATCTTCTGTTTTAATGACCACCTTGTGTGTGGAGTAAAGTAAATGCTGCTTGTTGCTTTTTACATCTCATATAGTGAATTTTCAGTCAATGAGTGTTGCATCTTCTGTTTTAATGAACACCTTGTGTGTGGAGTAAAAAAATTGAAAAAATGTGACAAGTACTTCAATTGCAATGGTAGAAACTACTAAGTACCCCAAATACTATGCTTTGCTCTTGGACAATCCTATTGGGCAGCTCTTTTGCAATCATCAGTACTAGCATATATACAAGACTCTGAGAATTCAATTGCCTTTTCTAACATCAGTAACTCCTAATGTAACCTGAAATTCACACTGGTCAATAACTTTAAGAGGGCAACCATCGCCCCACATGACACTCAAACCACCAGTTCTACCTATAGGATCAACATCAACACCTAGGTGCAATCTCAGACTTCTTCTAATGGGATCAATTCTGTGGCTAGAATTTTTTGTTTCCAACAAAGCTACCATCAGATTATATGCCCCAAAGTGACTTATATTTGAAACCCTTATCAATGAACTACCTATGGAATCTAGTGGCTGCACGTGCTGTGTGGCGGTTACATTATTGAGAGTAGTTTCTCGCTCTATGGTGTATCCCATTTACATGGGAATTTTCTGTGCATTTTAATTGATCAATTTTTTTTTTTTTTTTTGGGCTAGAGATACTAATAGTAGTTCTTTTCTCATCTTTTTGTTTAGTTAACAAAACAGACGACTGTACAAGCAGCAGGGGTAGCTTCCAGTTTAGTTGAGATCATACAAGGTTCAGGCTTCAAGTTGCAAACATTGAATTTGAGTTTTGAGGATGAAGAAGACATCAACTAGACTTCATGTGCTGGTTTAGTTGTTTGAGCAAAAAAAAAAAATGTTTGAAACTCCTCCCAAGAATCTTGGAATCCAGGCAGATGCTGGAAAATGTATTGAGTTTACTCGGGGTGGTTAGTTTTATCGGCCTCTTCTCTTGTACGATGTTGTGCAATTACTTTATCAGTGGAAGTAGTTGAAGTTCACAATTTGGATTGAGATTGTCTAAATTTGTTTGATCAAACTTTGTTTTGCAAGCTGTTCTGAAATCCAGAATGCCAATATTGTGGCTTTTGTTTCCCTGAAGTTACACGGTATGTCTTCATTGTCATAATTTTGTTATTGGAACATCAATTCTAACCGTGTTTACAATAATTCATTTGGAGTCTGGTTTCATCCATCTAAAGTTCCAAGTTTTCGTCTGAATTCATTCAGTTTCATGTTAAAAATCAGAGGGGAAAATGCAACTATCATATCTGATTTCATCATTTTTTCTCCCAACTCTATGTGGCAGGTCCCAAGTTGTATTACATGCAGTGGTGGTTGTGTGATGCAGGTTTCATTTCAGGCCACCTTTGATTAACCATCATGGACTTATTTTGGACTGAAAAACTACCATCAGTTAATTGAATAATCTGCAAGGCCCTGTAAAGTTCTCAGGTGATACCTTATTTATTTCCATTGTTAGCAGTGCAGTTCGGACTGAGAGATCAACTATTTGAGCACAACCAAAGCTATAAAACTCTCAACTTATGCTTGGGGCTGACCTGACCTCCAACTTGACATGGTACTCCTGGTGCATTAAAGTTTTTATCCTTGGAGACGAGAAAAACTTCAATGTTAAATAAACTAAAAATGAGATATATTGCTTTAGGAGGAGAATTCCACCGAGTCCAGTGAGTTTCAACCTTAAAATTAGATTTGTAACTTTTGCTTGTACTTGAAATTGCCTTTATGTAGCAAAGCTGAAACTGACAATCTAATAGCTTGAATTAATGCTAGCTTGTAACTATAAGTCTATAACAGTACACATTACTCCTATATATGCCTCAGCCTTTTGCTATCTCTCTCATCATTTGACACAACTGATCTCCACCCATCTTTGCTTCTTTTCTTCGAGATTAACAATGGCCATGAAAGCCATGTTCCTGTTAGCCTGTTTGTTTTTAGTCACCATAAGGGTATGTGATACATCTCTCTCTCTCTCTCTCTATACACTCATGCTTACTTTTTCCTGGTTTTTTTTCCAATTGATTTTATATAATGTTCTGAAACTCATCAATATAGTTTGATTTTGTAGGTATCGTCTATGGCAGAGGAAGACACGAAGGTAATTCAAGACACACAATCTAATTAGCAACTATGCTAAGGTCTCAACCTTTTCAAAGACAATGTGATTGCATTTGGCATATAGAACTCTCATACCTAAGTCCCATAATTTATACTTTGGCTTCTTATGTTCAGAACTCTCATGCCAAAGTCCCATGAGACCTATGTTTTCAATGGTACAATGACTTATAATCAAGCAATCAAATTGATCTAGTTTTGAATTTGTTGGTTTTTGTAGAATGTCCATGCCAAACTCCAAGTCAAGGCTCCATGCCATACAAATGTAATTCATGCCCCAGTAGAAGCTCCTGTCAAGGCTCCTGCCCATTCCCTAGCAAAGGCTGATTATCCCCATGCCCCAAGGCTCCAACCTATCCGCCAACAAAGGCTTACCCTAATGCCCCAAGTAAGGCTCCTACTCATCCCCAAAGTCCAGGAAAGGCTCCTGTTCATTCCCAAACCCCTCATGCCCCAGGTAAGGCTCCAGCCCATCCCCCAGCAAAGGCCCTCATGCCCCAAGTAAGGCTCCTACTCTTCCACATGCTCCAGGAAAGGCTCCTGCTATTCCCCAGTAAAGGCTCCTGTCCATTCCCCGGGAAAGGCTCCAACCCATCCCCCAGCAAAGGCTTCTACTCATTCCCCTGAAAAGACTCCTGTTCAATCCCCAGCAAAGGCTCATCCTAATTCCTCAAGTAGGGCTCCAGCTCATCCCCCGGCAAAGGCCTATCCTCATACTCCAATTAAGGCTCCTACTCTTCCGCATGCTCCAGAAAAGGCTCCAGCTCATTCCCCAGCAAAGGATCATCCTTAATCCCCAAGTAAGGCTCCTGCCCATTCCCCAGCAACGGCTCCTCCTATTGCCCCAAGTAAGGCTCGTGCTCATCCCCAAGCTCCAGGAAATGCTCCTTGCTCATATCCCGTTGAAGGCTGAAGCTCCAGTCCCACTAGTGGCTCTTAAACATGGTACAAAGCCTATGCAATGCAAAAAAAAAAAAAAAAAAGGCAAATTTGCTTCAATTATAATTAGTTGCTGAGCTTGATGATTATGTTCTGACAGGGTTTATTGGACTCAATCCTGTTGCTTCATATTTGTTAATTTATTTAATTTTTATGTTGAGATGAGATGAAAGTAAATGGTTTCGTAAGCCTTTAAGTAACCATAAGTTCATGGAGCCATTTACAAGGCAAAAAAAAAAAAAAAAAACATAACAAGAACATATTCAAGTTTAAAATTAATGTCAAATATTGAACCGTAATTAACAAGAACATATTCAAGTTTAAAATTAAGAATATATTGAACAGTAATTAACAAGAACATATTCAAGTTTAAAATTAAGAATATATCGAAAAAAAGCTAAGTAATTACCTTTGTGCTACTCCGAATATGCAGTAGATAATGAGATTGATTATATCAATACAGAAGCCAAGGATACTGATGAAAAGTATAGGAGTATTGCCTGGACGACGTCCCATAGAAGACTCAAAACGTAAGCTAATTGTTGTTGTACTATAGGTGTCGGTCATATTCTCTACCGCCCTATTTTGATAGATGGTGACAAATGTTGGTCTCCTAAATGAAAAAAAAAATGCACAGATAAATTCTATTCTAAAAATGCACAGTAAAAAGGCTAAAGCTAGCCAATATGCCCAACAAAACTAGACACAATTGGACAGGCCCAATAAGATAACAAAAGAGCCCAGACCCAACAATTCAGAGCCCAAGTTCTATCATTACAAACCCTTAAAAAAGAATTATGGCACAATCTTGCACAAAATATTTTTCAAATCTTTAATCAACTTAATGTAAATTATTAAAATTGTTTCTTAATTTTGATCAAGAAAAAAACTATTATTCAATAATGGTCTCGTATGGTATGAACATCCAATTAATAGATAAAAAGTATAAACGTAGACATAATAAGGATTAAATTGCAATCAATGACGTTCCATTATATATATACTGTCTACATATACATATAAATATAGGGACAGACAGACACAGTTTACATGGGTGAAAGAAACAAAATCCAGAGAAGACCATTCCAGCCAAAGAATAGCAAAGCAATAGTTTTAGCATTGAGATTCGACTCCATGAAAATAAAACTGTCATAATTGCTCAGTTTAAAATCAACATCACCAGTACAACGGCATAGGGATTTATATAATTCAATTAGCTAGGCAAAAAAAACATTTTATTTTCTCTAGCTCTTCTAGGCAGATTTTCGAGTTTTATATTTTTCTGCCAGTCAGTTTTATTTTCATTCCTTTTGCAGGCGATTTGAAAAGCATTTGTGAGACAGATGTGGGAATTGTGTCTCAGTGTTGTTTGACAAAGCATGTATACAAAATTAGTAAGCAAAATATTGCAAATGTGGCTCTGAAGATTAATGTGAAGGTTGGAGGAAGGTATACGCACAGTGCTTGTTGATGCACTATATATCAAGGCGTATACCGCTGGTCAGCAATCGGCCTACTATCATTTTTGGTGCTGATGTTACGCACCCATCCTCATCTCGGGGAGGATTCGATCCAGCCGTCTATTGCGGCCGTATAATGTTTTAGAACATGTTTTTCTTTGTTTGCCTGGAATTTATTGAGGTTCTATTACCAACTAATGTTCATTTGTTTGAATTCTAATTTAGGTGGTTGCTACCCAAAGATTGGCAGGAGGTTACAAAGTATGATGGCTTGGTTATTTACTAGTATTTATGTTATTCCGTATAAAGATTATACTCCATATATGAAACATTCGTGATTCACACATATGAAATTACATATCACCAAATGTCAAGCAACTGGTATTATAAGAACCATAATCCTTATCAAACTAGTATCATAACAACAATTCAGAGCCCAAGTGTCATCCATATCACCAGATATAAATCTAGTATCATAAGAAAGTGAATTATGTTTACATATGAGTAGAGTCCCACTATCACCGCGCAATGTCGGCTATCATAAATCCAAACACAGTAGAATCTTCTTCCAAAGTCAGATAATGCACGTACCTCTAAAAATAAAAAGAAGATTAATACAAAAAAAAATTAGGTTAAAGAGCTAAACATACTAAATTAACTTAGCTAAATTGCTTAAATTAATTTACCTCCTCTAGCGTCAGATAATGCACGTACCTCTAAAAAAGAAAAAAGAAAAAAGAAAAAGATTAATACAAAAAAAAAATTAGGTTAAAGAGCTAAACATACTAGATTAACTTAGCTAAATTGCTTAAATTAATTTACCTCCTCTGGCATCATATAATGCACGTACCTCTAAAAAAGAAAAAATAAAAAGAAGATTAAAAAATAAATAAATAAATAAATAAAAAATAGGTTAAAGAGCTAAACGTACTAAATTAACTTAGCTAAATTGCTTAAATTAATTTACCTGCTCTGGCGGATGTAGTAGATATAGTACATTATTATTTGGATTACCCCAGAGGGTAAGCCAATACCAGTGGACACTGACAAAATTATCCCGAACCATATAACCATACCCCAACCAAATTGCTGCATTCAGCAAACCTGCTTATCCAGACAACAAGGACGATCAAAATCATAGAATAAGCAAGGCAAGTAATCACACCATTCATTATACCTGCGGAGATAACCGCAATTGGCATAGCTTCACTGCACCGAACACGAATCACACCTCCCTGTTACAATCAAAACTAAAATAAACATTTAATTGTACAAAATAAAATAAACATTTAATTGTACAAAAATTGATGTTATTTAACCTATTGAATTCTGAACCTACCAGAAGCAACACATGATTGCACTAGACCAGCACAAAACCATCCAACAAAGTCAGTTGAGTGTCCGGTAAGAAGGCAAAACACCCAAGTAACAAACACCACCACTCCAATGCAGCATAAGTAAGCAAACCTCCTCTATGTAAACAAAAATTTACTGTCAAATATTGAACAGTAATTAACAAGAACATATTCTAAGTTTAAAATTAAGAATATATCAAAATAAAAGCTAAGTAATTACCCTTTGGGCCCCAACTATCGATACCCAGTAGATACCGAGATAGATCGTCTCAATAAACAAGCCAACCATATTGATGATAAGCAAAGGGGTATTGCCTGGATGACCCAAAACATACCGCTAATTGCTGTTGCAATATAAATGTCTGGGGTCATATTCTCTGGCTCCCCATTTCTACGGATGGTGTCAAATGTTGCACTGCAAAATTCAAAAATAAAATAAATGTATACTATAGTATGATGATTCTAAAAATGCTCAAGCTAGCCAATATGCCCAACAAAACTAGACTCGTTGGATAGGCCCAATAAGATAACAAAAGAGTCCAGGCCCAACAATTCAGAGCTCAAGTGTCATCAGTCGGACATAAGTACCCTTCAATAGAATTAATGTTTGTCTGTTACTGGAAATTCAAGCACCTCAGTTTTCAGGCTGAAATGAGCAGCAATATTCAACCTGAGTATTGCAAGTGACGGAGCCAAAAGTGTTTTGTGGTCGAAGGGCTTGCAGTGAAATTACATATCACCAAATGTCAAGCAACTAGTATTATAAGAACCATAATCCTTATCAAGGTCATATAACATAAACAGTACATATGAGTAGAGTCCCACTATCACCACGCCATATAATCTTGTTCCAAGGTCAGATGATATGCACGTACCTCTAAAAAAAAGAAAAAATAAAAAGAAATTAATACAAAAAAAAAATAGGTTAAAGAGCTAAACCTACTATTATAATCACACCATTCATTATACGTGCGGAGATAATCGTGATTGGCATAGCTTCACTGCGCCGATCACAAATCACACCTTTCTGTTACAATCAAAACTAAAATAAACATTTAATTGTACAAAAATTGATGTTTTTTAACCTATTGAATTCTGAACCTACCAGAATGGATAATGAAGCATAATAAATGACTAGACCCAGAACAAAACCATCCATCAGAGTGTCCGGTAAGAAAGCAAAACACCCGAGTAACTATCATCACCACAAACACCACCACTCTAATGCAGGATAAGTAAGCAATCCTCCTCTATGTAAACAAAAATTCAAAATAAAAGCTAAGTAATTACCCTTTGGGCTACTCCAAATATCCAGTAGATACTGAGATAGATCATCTCAATAAAAAAGCCAACGATATTGATGATAAGCAAAGGAGTATTGCCTGGATGAACATATCCATAAAAGACCCAAAAGATACTGCTAAATGATGTTGCAATATAATTGTCTGGGGGGTCATATTCTCTGCCGCCCCATTTCGACAGATGGTGACAAATGTTCATACAGAGCCATCGAACCGGCCCAACCAGCAACCAGAGCTGTATGCATTATATGAACAGAAAGCAACCAGCCGGGATCATTCAATCCAACGGTATGAACACGATACCAAGGTAAACTCTCTCAATACAAAATCTAATGTTTTGAAAAAATAATAGAAAAATTTTCTCATATCGAATTCGAAGTACCATGCTATTATTACTTAATATTCATATTTCATATGGCGAAGGCATAGTCTTCTTTTTTCTCTCAAATAAAAACAAATCTCATTGGCGCCAAGCGTGAGGGAATGCTAGACGTTTGGTAATTTCTCCCCCGACCAGGATAAAAGATCCCATTGAAACAGCAAAATGAAAAATAAAATAATTGCATACTATGGTATGATGAATTCTAAAAATGCACAGATAAAAAGGCTAAAGCTAGCCAATATGCCCAACAAACTAGACACAATTGGACAGGCCCAATCAGTTAACAAAAGAGCCCAAGCCCAACAATTCAGAGCCCAAAGTGCTATCATCACAAACCCTTAACAAAGAATTATGGCACAATCTTGCACAAAATATTTTTCAAATCTTTAATCAACTTAATGTAAATTATTAAAATTGTTTCTTAATTTTGATCAAGAAAAAAACTATTATTCAATAATGGTCTCATATCGTATGAACATCCAATTAGTAGATAAAAAGTAAAAATGTAGACATAATAAGGATTAAATTGCAATCAATGATGTTCCATTATATATATACTGTCTACATATATATATATATATATATATATATATATATATACAGATATAGACAGAGAGATAGAGTTTACATGGGTGAAAGAAACAAAATCCAGAGAAGACCAT